GCGAGAGAGGGACAGACAGACAGACAGACAGACAGACAGACAGACAGACAGACAGAGAAAGAGAGACAGCAAACAGAACATGGGACTGCTTACGGGGTTAAGCGTTACAGGACATAGATGCTACCCCAGAGTGTCTCTCGTCAGGAACAAGGTCGGTTGCTAGATTCCGCGCAACGGTTCAAAAGCAACCGAATACTCCTCCGAATAGACCGCCTCTCCTTCTCCACTTCCTCCCTTTTCACAGTACTACTGCACTCTACAAGAACAGGTGGGAACGAAAGGTGGCCTGCCCTTTGGATGGAGTTGATTTCTATGTTTACTGTACACGCCGATCAATGTGTCTTCACCTCTTTCCACACCGCCCTTTCCGTCCTTCAGGTTATGCAGGTTATGGCCTTCTTCCCCTAGCGAACTATCATACGCTGCGCCCTCTGCCCCCCCCCCCCCCCCCCCCCCCCCCCCCCCCCCCCCCCCCCCCCCNCCCGCCGCCTTGGTAACGTGTAGGTGTATCACTGCTGTGGCTTCTGAACTCCTCTGCTTCTTCCTGCTTCTCGTGGTATTACGGTATCACCTGCATTTCCCCCTTGTCCAGAATAATCCGGCACGCTTCGAGCTGGTTGTCCGTGCCGAAGGCCTTCATCAAGTCTTTGTTCTTCGCCAGCACACCCTGTTGATTCATTCATTCATTCGTGGGCACGAAAAATGCAACTGGTTGAAGATTCACCACACACGAGAGAAAAGTCCATCGAGGGCAACTTCCTGGAAACCCAACCGGTAGCACCACCATACGCACTCACGCGTACATGAGGTCCTACAGCGGTCGGGACCTCAAATTCGAGGCCACCATGTTCACGCAGAAATCTCACCTCCTCGTCCCCGCCTCCCTCTATCAGAATGTCAATATTCGAACCGCGATGGCACCGCTCGGTGAACTGCTGTGTTGCGATGTACGTGCCTCCCCACAAAAGATAAGCAGCGTACTGCCTCCTGTGCGATCTCATCGGCCATACACCAGCCTGTTCGAACACATCATCGGAGACACCCTATGCCTCGTGTACCGTGCTCTGCTACAGTTAAGGTGACGGATTTTCCGGAGATACCTCTTGCCACATTGTACTGTACCCCTTTGTGGTCGCCAAATCTAACACTCGTATCACGATTCCTCATGACTATACCACAGCAGCACGTGTCCGAGCCCACCATCACCTTGGACACATTCTCGAAGACGCTCTCGATCTGCAGGACCTCGTCAAGGTCGGTCTCAACCCGGTTGCGCCAGTTCACCACCTTGTTGCGGTAACAGGCGATCTCGAAGCGCTTGCCCGTTTTGTTCAGGCGGACGACGGCGACGTTCGTCAGCCTCACCTGCGGTTGGCGGAAACAGCGGTCGGTCGACAAGGGAACAAGGCAACAAGGGAGAGGCTACCAAGAGACGGCCACACATGTAGCGTAGAGGGGGGGGGGGGGGGGGGGGGG